GGTGGCAGAGAGAGGATCATTCCTTGTGCTGCACTCTGGCATTGCCCCTGGCAGTGCCTGTGGGACCATATGGGATATTGGGTATCGCCAGTCCTATGTGCTGTCCCCGGAACAGCTGTCCTGTTACGCCAACCTGCTGCTTCGGTTTCTTTTGCATTGTTTTTGTCATCAACTGTCCTCTTGACTTTGTGCTCTGGATTCACAACTGATGGACCTGAGAGCACCCTGGGGTGTGCTGGCCCCGTTTGCTCCCTGGCAACTACAGTGACTTGGGCCCCCAGACTTGCTTTTCTCCTGTTTTGTCCTTCCTACTTTGGGAACACTACCTGTTAGGTCATATAGTCTTACGTTCACATAATCTTGTGTGTGGATTTCTGGGCATGCACCGATCCCAAGGAGAAAGAGCCAAGGACCTATGAGGCCAGTAGAGCTGTTTGGGTAAAGAAGCTTCTACCTTCTTTGAGCGGGATTTGGGGCGGTCCTGAGCAGTGAGTTCCTACAGGCACACATGCCATGCACTGCTCTGAGTAGTTGTCTATACGGACTGTCGAGTTCTCAATCCTAGTGGTCATGTGCTGTGGGGGAGCAGCGGTGAGCGTGCAGTGGTTTTTGCTACAATCAGCGATAGTCTTTTGGATCACACAAGTCTGTGTTCAAGTGATCCTCTCTACAGTGCTCACTGGACCAGTGGTGCTCGAATTGGCCCTGGGGTTACCAGAAAAGGCAGATACATCCAAGAAACTTCTGTATAACGTCCTCCCACTTTAGCAGATCCAGCTGCCTTATGTGATTTCTGGGGCCCGTCAGTCATGCGTGTGCATGGAGGCTGGTTCATTCGGAGCGGAGAGGCCCAGCGACAATATAGGACCCTGAGTTCTGGCCTCACAGTAGTGGCAATGAGGCTAAGATAGACTTTGATCCCCACCCTCTCCGTGTGCTGACTCAGGATGCAGTGACCTTCCATGACGTGGCTGTGAACTTCACCCCGGAGGAATGGTCATATCTGGAGGCCTTTCAGCGGAAGCTCTACAGGGATGTGATGCTGGAGACCTACCAGCATCTGCAGGCTGTCGGTGAGAGCAGTGTGGAACCAACGGTGTCTGAACAGACCGTGTGGGCTCCCTGGGGTTGGGAGTCAACTGTGTGTCCAATAGTAGCTCTGTGATGGGCTGGGATGTTGGTTAGCTGTGCGGTATCTGTTCCCTCCCTTTTTTTTTTTAAGGGTTCACCTGTGGATACTCAGGGCTTACTCTCAGCTTTCTCCTCAGGAATTACTCTTGTGGGGTCGCCAGATCCTATGGGGTGATTCATATCAACCCGTTTCGACTGTGTCCATGGGAAGAGCCCTATCTGCCCAGTTATCGCTCAGGTCCCTTTAAATAGTTCCATCCATTGGTGCATCAATTTACTTTGTGTACTACACGAACTTTTGTGTGTTTAATTGGTTTTGCTGTTGCCTTTGTTTGGGGGCACAGTCCACAGTTCTCCTGGCTCTGTGCTAAAGGATGACTCCTAAGAGTGCTCAGGCGCCATGGGGTACCATGGACTGAAACCTCTTGGCAACTTAAAATGTTGGTGCCTCACGCCCAGTACTTTTGCACCAGTTACTAAAGTCAGACGGTTTTTGCACTTTCTTTTCTCCTTAGAGATTAGTGATTATTCCTGCCTGTGTATTCAGGATCCACACCTGGCCTTGCTCCAAGACCATTTGGGCTGCCTGGGATCAAACCCACATGTGTGTGCCGTGCTTCTGTCCTATGTGCTGTACTCTCTATCTTCCACTACAGGGGATTTGATATCTCATCTCTCAACTCATTTGACGCTGCCCTATATCAGTGCTTGGATTTACTTCTAATGGTTCTTGTGAGACTTCAGCAGGACTTAAGGTTTGCTCCTGGACTCTGCACTCAGAGATCTCTCCTGGCTGGCATGAGGGACCCTAGGTGATATCGGGTATCACAACTGGGTTGGCCGTGAGAAACTCCTGCTGCTCTTTCTGGATATATTTTTCAGCTTAAAAAATAAGGGTCTCTGGCCACCCTTGGCCATTTCCAGATTTATTATGCACGTAGTTTTACTGAAATCCGTGACAATTTTATGAGGGGCTCAGGAAACTCCATATGTTGCTGGGCCTAGAGAGATAGTACACGGAGGAAAGTGATTTTCTTGCAAGCAGTGCATGTGGGTTAAATACCCGGCATGCCATGTCATCTCTGAGCTCCACAGGCAGTGATTTCTGAATAGAGAGTCAGGAATCACCACGGAGCATTGCCAGGGGAGACCCCAAACAAGACAAAAACCAACAACATACTGTGCTCATCAAACCCCTGTCGGCCATATACATGGCCATGTCTAGAGTATTTGTGGTATTTTCTTGGGTCTTACCTCTTGAATAACTAGAAATATGTGGCATTTTGGAAATGGACATTCTGTTCATGCCTTTCAGATATTTGCCCAGTTATATCAGGAAAACATGGGGATTTACCTGTCACCTTTTCCATGTCATTTATCCATGCCTCTGTCTCTGTCGGGGCAGGGCACTCTGGGAGGAAGCCCGCGGTGATCTCCTGGCTGGAAGGAGGAGCCCTGAGGTCGGGGAGGAGAGGCGTGTGTGCAGGTGAGTGTTTGAGGACCCTTCCTCGCTCAGGCCCTGTGCAGTGTATGGGTGCCCTGAGCGTGTATGAAACACGCTGCTGAGACCGGGGCCTTGGTCTCCTGCATCGTTGTGTCTGTGCCGCACTCACGCTGCTCTTCATTCCCCTGGACTATCAGTCACAGAATGATCCTGTAATGTGCTTCCATGGCTTTCGAATAAGTAAGACCATAACAGAGCTAGTTTGGCTCTTAATGATAGTACAGCAGCGAGTGCCTTGCAGTGCCTGAAGATGACCTGTTCAATAATTTGTTCAATATCCTTTTTCCCCAAACATTACCAGGTCTGCTCAAAAACAAAAACAAACCCTAGTGTAGAATTGCCAAGATCCTCACAGTTTTCCACTATTCAAATCTTTTCTTTAGTGTGGGGTCTTTGTACTTTGAGAACCACAGAGATGTACTCTTAAATACATGGCATCAATTTGCTACATTTTTGGACAAGTGCTTGACTTATGTTTTGTTCAGTTTTAGAACTGAAACCGCGACTTCAGGATTTGGCATTAGAGCACTTTGATTTGGGAATGGGGTCAGCAAGTACGAGTGAGTTGGTAAGATTCGCTAATTGAGAATAAATATTATTATGCCAGCAGGAGTGGACCAAGTATGTGATTGATAAAGTGGAGGGCTAGGAATGGCAGTGAGGAATTCCAAAGCCTGATGCTTGGAGTAGAGGACCCTTAGCTTTATTAGGTGCTGAAATCAACCATGTAGAAAAATACTGTGAGTTTTGATTTGCTTGACAGTGGTAGTTGTTTAGAAAGCTAATTTGTATGCCCAAGAGATGGTGCAGTGAGAAATATACTTGCTTTGCACAGGGATAGATGGTCCTTACCCAGCATGCCTTATAGATACCATAGACCCACAGAGCTGATCCTAGACACTGCATTGTGTGCCCCTCCACCCATAAAACCCCCAATAAATAGAAACTACAAAACAGAAAGAACAAAGAATGTCATTGATCCTGAAAGGCATCACTGTGGTGAGAGCTTTGCAATGGCCACGTGGTCTGTCTCAGCTGTGTGACGATGCAGCGTTGTCTTCACCCCTGCATCACAGGTTCCACACTAAGCTTTAACAAAACCCAAATTAGGTTGTATTTCATTTTCTGTTGAAATGGATGCGTCCGTTTTCTATAGAAAGAATTGTTTCCAGTTGTATTACTTCATTAATTTAAAGGGGGGAAGTCACAACATTTACTGACTCTGCATCCATCAATTTTGTGCGTCCAACTTACAGTAACATGATGTTATTCTATAGTAAGACAATACATATGTCGGTAATTGCATTTGTGTGGTGCATATGTGTGAAACCACATCTGAAGGGCTCAGTTTTTTGACAGAAAGACTCAGTGAATAAGTCAATAATTAGAATCCTCTGTTGTTCTACAGGAAAGCTGCCACCCCGAGTGGAATGTCTCTGATCCTGCACTGTATGACAATGTCTCCAGTGAGCAATCCTGCCCTCAGCCCCATGAGGACTCCGAGACAGGCGGGATGTCTTCTGAGGGTGATCAGAATGGTGAGAGCTACCTCACTCAGAAGAAGCCCTCTCCTGGAAAAAGTTCCTTGCAGTGTGTTATTCTCAGTTCACAGGCACAAAATCCCCCAGTGCAGAAGCTGCTAGGGAGAGGAGCACTGTTTATAGTGAGTCCCTCACAGCAACATACCCTCAACCACAGTCACCGTGTGCAGAACCCATCTACGTGTAAGGAATGCAGGGGAGCCCCCCCATGTTGTCAGCACTGTGGTGTTCCCTTAGAAAACCACAGTCGACAGAATCCCCAGAAAAGTCAGTCCAAAGGACAAAGTGTGAGTCAAGGGTTACTCCATCATGACCATATGATTATAAATTCAGGAGCGAAACCTGTTGCATGTGAAGCATGTGGGAAGGCCTTCGATCACTCATCACATCTTATTATGCATAGGAGAATTCATACAGGAGAGAAAACTCATGAATGTCAGACATGTGGGAAGACCTTTATTCACATGTCTAGTCTTAAGAGACATATGAAAACTCATAGTGGAGAGAAGCCTTATATATGTCAGGAGTGTGGTAATGCCTTTACTCAATCCTCAGGCCTCAGTATACATAGGAGAATTCACACTGGAGAGAAACCGTATAAATGTAAGGAGTATGGAAAGACCTTTACTCATTCCTCAGGCCTCAGTATACATAGGAGAATTCACACTGGAGAGAAACCGCATATATGTAAGGAATGTGGGAAGGCCTTTGTTACAGCCTCAAAACTTACTGTACATAGGAGAAGTCACACTGGAGAGAAACCGCATATATGTAAGGAATGTGGGAAGGCCTTTGTTACAGCCTCAAAACTTACTGTACATAGAAGAATTCACACTGGAGAGAAACCATATATATGTAAGGAATGTGGGAAGGCCTTTATTGAAGCCTCAAGCCTTAGTGTACATAGTAGAATTCACACTGGAGAGAAACCGTATATATGTAAGGAATGTGGGAAGGCCTTTGCTACAGCCTCAAGACTTAGTAAACATAGGAACATTCACACGGGAGTGAAACCATATATATGTAAGGAATGTGGAAAGGCCTTTGTTGTAGCCTCAAGGCTTAGTGTATATAGGGGAATTCACACTCGAGAGAAACTGTATATATGTAAGGAATGTGGGAAGGCCTTTGCTACAACCTCAAGACTTAGTAAACATAGGAACATTCACACTGGAGAAGGACCATATATATGTAAGGAGTGTAGAAAGGCCTTTGCTTGGGCCTCAACATTTAGTGAACATAGGAAAATTCACACTGGAGAGAAACCATGTATATGTAAGGAATGTGGGAAGGCCTTTGCTGTAGCCTCAAGACTTAGTGTACATAGGAGAATTCACACTGGTGAGAAACCGCATATATGTAAGGAATGTGGGAAGGCCTTTGCTGTAGCCTCAACTCTTAGGGAACATAGGAAAATTCACACTGGGGAGAAACCATATATATGTAAGGAATGTGGGAAGGCCTTTGCTAGAGCCTCAAAACTTACTGTACATAGGAGAATTCACACTGGAGAGAAACCATATATATGTACAGAATGTGAGAAGACCTTTGCTGGAGCATCAAGACTTACTACACATATGAAAATTCATCTCAGAGAGAAACCTCCTCAGTGTCACACATGTGGGAAGGAATTCACACGGTTCTCTTCCCTTACTCTACACATGAGAATTCATACTGGAGAGAAGCCTTAGACATGTCTGGAGTGTGGAAAGACCTTTACTCCATCTTAACAATTGACTGTACATAGGAGAATTCGTATAGTGGAGAGAAACCATATATATGTAACGAATGTGGGAAAGCCTTTGCTACAGCCTCAAATATTAGTATACATAGGAAAATTCACACTGGAGAGAAACTGTATATGTAAGGAATGTGGAAAGGCCTATATATGGCCTCAATACTTAATGTACATAGGAGAATAAACACTGGAGAGGAACCATATACTTGTAATAAATGTGGAAAGGCCTTATGAGAAGCCTCAGATTTAGTGTACATAGGAGCATTCGTGCCAGAGAAAAACCTTATATATGCGAGGAATGTGGGAAGCCCTTCTGCCATTCTGAATCCTTTCTAAGTAGAGGAAAATTCACAGTTGCGGGAAACCTTATCAGTGTCAGACTTGTGGGAAGGCCTTCATTTGGTGCTATTCTCTAACTCTTTATGTGAGAATTCATTCTGGAGACAAACTGCATATATGTCGGTAATGTGGGAAGGGCTTCATGTAACCCTCACACCTTAATAAACATAAAAGTTCATACTGAATGATTTTATCCCTTAATAACAGTCTCTAAGGACAGAACAGAACAAGTCAGTCAAGCAAGTTTCCTTTGGACACTATGGTCAAGGGTGTTAAAAAAGTGCAGTTAAGAGGGAAGTAAGCCTGCCTGTTTGGAACAGGCTTCTCCTCATGTCATTGAAAGGTACCTGCTGATTTTCACCTGGGCTGCACCTATGCCAGTGTTCTAGTGCTTGGAATTGCTTGTGTGTTAACTTGTAAATAATGGGTCCTGGTGATGAAAATAAGGAGGAAGATGACTGAATAAACAGGTACAGAAAAATTTCCCAGCTCAGAGCTGTCATGGCTCACTACTCTGTTATAGTTTGCTATGCTTCTGGCTTGGCCCAGAGGGGCTGGTTAGCGGGAGTTATGGCAGAAATCAACCAAGATGTAGCATTAAATACTTTGAAAATGGAAAAAGAGGAAAACCTCCATTCTTCAGTCTTTCCTGTGTTAGGTTTTGGCATGCTTGAGCCCCCTGGAAATCCCTGTTTGGGAACTTGAATGGCAGGTCACGCCAGCTTGTAGGGCACTTTCACACTTTTTTTACTTGTTCCGGACATCCAGGCTTTAGGGGATGTGGAGCTTTTAAGGGGTGCATTGGTAGCTGTTCTGTGACTCAGGTGTCATGGGTGAGGGTGCGTTATCCTGAGGTCCCGTGCAGCCACGATTGCATCCAGGTTCAAGATGGCACTGGAGGGTGGGAACATGGATTTCAGGCCTTGGTGTGAGGAGATTGAAGAGAGTGGGGGTCTTGACCATCTCATTCCTCCCTATTCGAGACTCTGCAGGACCCTGTTTAGAGCCTTTGGACTAGACATAACACTTATCATAACTCCAGATATGTTCACGGGCAGCCCACAAAGGAAAGGGACACTTTTGCGGTCAGTCATTTTCATTGGCTTCTGTGCTTGGGTTTGGAAAAGTGAGAGGTATTTGCCTCTGAAAATTTACTCTTTGGATTACTTTTTTTTTTTTGCTTTTCGGGTCACACCCAGCATTGCACATGGGGTTGCTCCTGGCTTATGCACTCAGGAATTACTCCTGGTAAAGCTCAGGGGTCCATATTGTTACTGGAATTGGAACCTGGGTTGGTCACGTGCAAGTCAAACACCCTACCCGCTCTGCTATCACTTCAGCTCCTCTTTGGATTAATTTTAATAGCTTTTTTGTTCAGAGGATTTGGAAGCGATTCTTTGATGCTCAAGGTTACTTCTGGTTCTGTAGCTCAGGAATTATTCTGTGGTGTTTCTGGGTTCCTATGGGATGGGCAGGTTTGACCTGGATCAGCAAGGCAGGCTAGAGCAAATGGACGAACAACAGGAGGGCCTTTACCTTTACCTTTACCTTTACCTTTACCTTTACCTTTACCTTTACTAGCAAGGCAAGCATCCTACTTGCTTTATAGTCAGTCCAACCACACCATTGGTGTTTTTTTCCATATATAGTATTTCTACTCTCAGCCTGTTGCTACCACCAGCAGGTCAATCTATGCTGTAAGGCGAGTGCATCAGCTTCCTGATGGCACCATCAGACTTCCAGATACTCCGAAATTGATGCTGTGCCTTTGGCCAGACAACAAAAACTTTGCGCAAAGTCTTCCAAGAAAGTAAACAGACAAAAGTTAGGTATGTGCGTGACACACCAACAAACCATTTCCGGGTCAGCTATATAATTGGAGGCAAGGTCTCTGCTTCCTGATCAAACTGCTTAAAGGCTATGATCTCAGAGACTCAGAGACAAATCTCGGAACCCAGAAGCTTTTTGCAGAGATGCTCCCGGTTCCCGCAATGAGCTACCAGTGACAGACCACCACAAGGGGGAAAGGGTGTGTATCTCCACCTGATCCCACTTGGTGGCTCGGTGGCCACCATCTTCCAGAGGCCATTGGACAGACAGGTTTAGGCCTGCAGTGACAAGACATGCAGGGCCTCATGGGATTGGGGTGGACTCTGCCCTTTCCTCCCCACCTCAATGTGACAGACCCCGAGTTGCTGCCCATGTACAAACTCTCTGGCTCTTGATCTCTTGGCCATGATCCCAGAGTCTCAGTAACAAATCTCGGAACCCAACGGCTTGCAGCAGAAATGTGTCTGGTTCCCACAGGAGGTTACTGAGGCTGGGTATTTCAGGTGGCAATAGGTTTCGTGCCTTACGGCTCAGTGGCCGCCATCTCTTATGGCTTCTGGACGATTAGGTTTGGGACTGCTTTGAGTAGACTTGCAGGGACTAACTGCATGGTGGTGAAGCCGGCCCTTTTCTCCCCACCCCAACAAAACCCCGAGTTGTCTGGCACCTATGATTGACCTCTGTGGCTCATGATCAAGGTGCCTAATGGCTATTATCCCAGAGATTCAGAGAAAAATCTCAAAACCCAGCGCTTTTTAGCAGAAATGTGTCTGGACCCTGCAGTAGGTTACTGTCCCCGGTCCACCCCAGGGGGAATTGGTCCTATCCCAACAAATGCTCCCACTTGGCGACTCGGTGGCGTCTATCCTCCAAAGGCCTTTGGAAAGTCAGGTTTGGACCCACCCTCAGGAAGATACGTGGGGCATCTCAGGATGGGGTGGAGCCGGCCAGTTCCTCCCAACCCCAACATGGGCGTATGTCATTCCCACGAACCGCCTCTCTGGCTCATGGTAAAGCTGTTTAATGGCCATATTCCCAGAGACTCAGGAACAAATCTTGGAACCCAGCAGGTTTTGGCATAAATCCCTGCAGATTTAGTTATTAAAATTTCAGAATTCCAAAATCATATGTTATTTATAACCAGGAATCGAAAAAGAATTATCTGCTGTTGCGTTTTTGCCAGATCTGAGTGCTGGGGTAAAATCCCAAATAATAATGGTGGGTCTCGTGTCAAAATATTGAATGTAATCAAAGTAGAGAGAAGAATGTGGAAATTATCTGCCCCAAAGGTAGGGGTAGGCTGTGAAATGGCGGTATATTTGGGTTTTTAGTGGTGGGAAATGGGCACAGTTAAGGGACTGGTGTTTCATTGTATGACCGAGAATTAAATGTGGAAGCTTCGTAATTGCTCTCCCATTTTTTCCCCATTTTCTCCCATTTATTTAGAAATGGCCAGAGCGATATTAGGGCAAGTAGGATGCTTGCCTTGCACGTGGCCAACCCAGGAGTCCTCCAATCCACAACCTCTTTGAGTTGCTCATTGGACATTGAGTATCCCCTTCTCATCCCTAGAACATGTGATGTGGAGGTGTGGCATGGGGTAGCGGTGTCTTCTCCCCGGAGCTGTTCATTTCGGATAGATACTGTGCTTTGCTTTCTTCACGTTGTTGTCATTCTTCCTTATCTCTCAGGTATGTCAAGTAATCCTTGTGTTCCCGGCTGTATAACTAGCTTGACTGTACACCTAAAGGGTCGGGTGCCCTTTCTGGACTCCGCTCAGTCAATGTGACACCATGCATATCTTTGCCTTTGGATCATTGCCATGGTTTTTTGAATATGGGAAGAAATTTAGTTTTGTTTTGGGGCCTGGGGATGCTCAGAAGTTATTCCTGGTGGTTCTCGTAAGTTGATTTTGACAGTGTTCAAGGATCAACCCCTGTCAGCCTCATGCAAGGCAAATGCCTACCTGCTGTACGCTTGTACCCACCAAAAATTGTTTTATTGTGTGTATGTTAAATTGTGACTGTGAGCCCATAATGAAACTAATTAGGACCAGAACAGCAATGCATCACGGAGGGTGCTCGCCTTACAGATGCCGCCTACCTTCGATGTCCACCATCCCCTATGGTATCCCCAGCATCGCTGGATCTGATTAAAAACAAAACCCAAAAGGTTTTTGGGTGATTGCCGAGCTCCTCCCAGCAACACTTCCCGCAGATTTTCCCTTTCTGTAGGCTTGCTTGGACTGTGAGAACTATGGAGATGTCCTCCACCTGTTTGGTCATTCGACTGCATTCCATTTAACATTGGACTAATTCTCATTGTACATTTTGTTTGATTTCAGAACTCAAATCACAGGTTCAGATTGTGGCATTACAGCAATTTCTTTAGAGAACAGGGGTATTGCATACAAGTGTGCTGTAAGATTCTCTTGTTGAAACTATTATGCCATTGCAGTGCTCAGTGGACCGAGCATGCGACTTGAAAGGTGGGGTCCGGCTCCATCCACACAACCACATCTATGGTCTCAGCATGACAGGAAAAACATCAGAGCCTAATACTGGGACTAGAGAGTCTTTAACCTCAGTGGGTGCTGAAATCTGGAACTGTATTTTATTGTATTGTTTTT